ACTGCTCTCCAAACATACAACCGGTTAGTGCTGAACTAGAACTAAATTCATCTTCTTTGGTTCTTTCGGTAAAGTCACGTAGTTATGAGAATAAAATAATAAATTGATAAAATAAAATAACACAATCATATTCTCACGACGTTTCGGCCACAACACAAGCGGCCTTCATCAGGTGAAGGGGACGGGACTGTCTGGTAGGACAGCGCTGGAGTGAGAAAAGCCACGCTGAGATCACGACCTTTAAGCTGTGTGAGAAGAAACAAAGCGCCCTCAACTTTAGTCTCGTCCCCTTCACCTGATGAAGGCCGCTTGTGTTGTGGCCGAAACGTCGTGAGAATATTATTGCGTTACTTTATTTTATCAATTGATTATTTTATTCTCATTCTACGTGACTTTACCGAAAGAACCAAAGAAGATGAATCCTTGCAGTCACGAAAAGCTTTAAATCGAAAAATAGAACTAAATTGCCACGATTTTGTTTGCGTTACCTTCAACCAGTTGGCTGTGTCGGGTGGTGGTGGCGGGTTTAACGACACATTTTATATTTACGCGATCTGACCCTTTGTTCGTGGACAAACGTCAACCACATACCTGATGGGCTACGCAGGACACGATGGCGGTACACAATCGTAACAATGAACCGTCCACGGAGTATTCCTTTCGCCGCAACTTGGAATCCCGACTTGGTGTGTGTTTGTCCGCAACTTGCAAGAACTGACAAGCGGAGAGCCCACACGGAGGTCGGACACAGACAGAATGTGAATGCCGAAGAAGTTGCCAGCCTCGTCTGCAAACTGCTTCCTTTGCTCGCTGCCGGAGGAGAGAGAGAGAGAAAAACTAAAATCCACAACGGCCCAGTCGCAGTGGCCTCTCTAAAAGAGGCACCTCACATGGCGAACTCTTTAAATCCACTCTCATGGTAAAACAAATAATATTCAACTGCGCGGTGTTTAAACAGAGGATTGGGTGCTGCTCTCTTTCGGGCGGGGGCGATTTGGTAGAAACAAGTTCTTCAATGCACACACTTTGATTTGCACCCTAAACTGCAACATAAATTAGTTTGACCCCAGAATGAATCACATTTGATGTGCTCATGCCGAATTTTCTTTATCCAAGCAACCCACTTTTGTATGAAAAATAAGAATACGTGTTAACGCTTTGTAGCAATCAAACGGGAGGTGTTAAGGTGTTCAAACATCAAATTGATTCCTTTTGCAAGGAATCGAGTCTGCAGTAACCACCACACAGTACGTGTGGTGAACATGCAAACAAACATGCTCTGATAATATTAATATGGCATTGTCTTTGAAACCTATTGGCCGACACAGACAAGCAGGCTTCGTCATGGTCGAGTCTCACCACCAGTAAGAGGCCAGAGAACATCACCAGAAGGCGAACAGTACAAGGAGAATGCCACACGTATCAGAGTATTTATAGCTCAAAGTGAGCAGCGATATCATAACATACCTGTTTTGTCAATATCAAAGTATGACAAATACGGTAAGTAGTATTTAAAAAAAAAACTTTTTTTAAAACACGCATTTAATGTAAATGTACCGTACTAGTAATGGAAGAACTCCACGACTCCAGGAAGTGGCCCCGAAGCTTGCCACAACGTAATGGACCGTGGCCAATTACAGGCCACGTCAGTTGAGCGTGGACAATTAGACCCAAGCCGAAACATAACATATTAAAAATATTCTTAAAAAATATATATATTTTATGATAGAATATAGTATTGTCATCGGTATGACATAAGTATACCAAGTTTTGCAGTCGATACCACATTGGGAAGTGGGTTAAGATTTAGTTACAAGATTTGAGGATACGACAACAACAGAGTGAGTTAAATGAAAGCGTGTAAAATAAGAACAGGTTTTACCCTTTCTGAGAATAAAACAGGTGTTAAGATTTGTATTTAAAGCTTTCGTGACTGCAGGGATTCATATTGTTGGTTCTTTCGGTAAAGTCACCACGTAGAAGGGAAACAATGAAATAATAAAGATATAAAACAATAAAATCCTCACGACATTTCGACTGCAACACAAGCAATCATCATCAGGTGTGAAAACCACAGCAAGAAAAACACTTTTTTCAAATCTTCTTGCTGTGGTTTTCACACCTGATGATACGTACTGTACGGAAATTTGAGGGCTCTTTGTTCCTCTCACACAGCTTAAAAGCCGTGATCTGAACGTGGCTCTCTCACTCCAGCGCTGTCCTACCAGACAGTCTCGCTCCCTTCACCTGATGAAGGCCGCTTGTGTTGTGGCCGAAACGTCGTGAGAATATTATTGTTATTTTATTTTATCAATTTATTATTTTATTCTCATTCTACGTGACTTTACCGAAAGAACCAAAGAAGATGTTTTATATATATTTTGTTATTTTGTTGTTTCTCTTCAACGTGACTTTACCGAAAAAACTAAGAATATGAATCGCATACATGTCAACCCCTTATCAGTGCCCTACCTTACTACAGACCAATTCAGACCTTATTGGTCATCCCGTGCCCCTTATAAATCTCAACATTCATCCTACAAAGTCCCATCAGAAGGGAGAAACGCAAACATGGACACAAATTATGTTTTCCCCGTATTGAAACGGCTGTACGCCGCATGGACCTGGCAACGCAATACCCCTGTACAAGAATACGGCTAAAACCGCATGGGTTGACAGCTATGGAATGACTATTTGGTTCTTTTTTTTCTACGTGACTTTACCGAAAGAACCAAAGAGTGATTCCTGCAGTCACAAAAGCTTCGAATCTAGCTATGGAATCGGTTACCGGTTTCTTATAAGCATTCTGTACCGGTTATAATGAGTGCGTTGGTTTGGCTCAAGTGACTGGTACAAATTTCGATTTAAAGCTTTCGTGACTGCAAGGATTCATCTTCTTTGGTTCTTTCGGTAAAGTCACGTGGAATGAGAATAAAATAATAAATTAATAAAATTACATAGATATTTCTATGACCAGTCACAAGCTAATCACTCAGCTATTTCAATGCTAAATTCACCTGTTTTATATGTAAACCCCTTTGTCAAGGTGCCTCACCTCTCTAAACCAGCTTAAAAGACGCTACGAATCTTAACAACGTTCAATGAAGCTCTGTCGTCCCGACAGGTCTGTTCCTTTCACCTGAAGAAGGCCACTTGTGTTGTGGCCGAAACGTCGTGATAATTTTATTGTTATTTTATTTTATTAATTTATTATTTTATTCTCAATCTACGTGACTTTACCGAAAGAACCAAAGAAGATGACTGGTACAAACCGCACGGCAAGCCCAACTCAACGCGTGGTTGCAATGCATTTGCCCACCTCGTTTCTCGCACACCACGACTTGTCAGACATTTCGATGTTGTGTTCAGATCACAGCATTTTGCAGCTATACATGTCCACGATGATGATAAGCCCACTTTATTGAACTATCACTTGTGGCCAGGTCGCTTCTGAAAAATAAGTTAATACCTCAGTGGACTTTACCTGGTAAGATAACAATAGTTTGTTTTTATTTGTATATATGTTTAAGTGATTTGTTTACCTTTCATATACAATACTTTGCACCCCCATCGTTGTTTTTGTATTGTTTGTTTTTGTAACGTTTTGCCCGCTCCTATTGGATTTCGATGAAAAATAGCTTTATAGCTCATCAGATTCCTCCAGTATTCTAAAGTATTCTGATTCTGTACGGTATAACAAACCGGTAACCTTTTTTTAAATCGTTTTAACGTTCGGTTATCAGTTATGTAAAAACATGTTTTATTGATGTGGCAGTATTACAATACATCGTACGATATTCGGATCCACAAAAATCGTATTGTACCTGCGGAAAGAAAATCCTGTATCAGCAGAATCAGCCTGGAAGCATTGGTTCAGCACAAGCGAAACTCTGGACCAGTTTCGACATTTAGTGTCTTATCAGCAGTCAGGCCTTGCTTGAATCAATGCTGGTGAGCTGGCAGATGTCATATAGGTTAAGTCCCTCTTAAAGAGAATGTGAAAAACACTTTTAATGTTTTACGTGGAAAGACAATGTATGGATCTGGGGTGCTATGGTGGCTAGGAGATGTTAACTATCTTGCCTGGTGTACAGGAGGTCGTGGGGTCGATCCCGACCCAAACGACGCCTGCTGCTGCTGCTGTTTATTTGGAGTTTTCGCCTCTCTCTCCCCATGGTCGCATGGGGATTTGTCTCCAGATCCTCCTCCGGTCTTCCCCTCCACATTTAGAGTCAACATCACGCGTTTGTAGAGGATTTGGCTGCTGTTAATATATTTCCACACGGTGATGATGATGCTGATGATAAGCCGCTTCGTTTGAGCAATCATTTGAGATAGCTAGGTCGCTTGTGATAAAGAGCTTACATAGCTCACATATCTGCTAAAATAAAAATGGTTGATAGTTTTTTATCTGGCCTCTTATGATGCAGTTCATTCGTTAAATATGATCTAGTATTAAATATTATCTAGTATTAAATATTATCTAGTATTAAATATGATCTAGTATTAAATATGATCTAGTATTAAATATTATCTCGTATTAAATATTATCTAGTATTAAATATTATCTCGTATTAAATATTATCTAGTATTAAATATTATCTCGTATTAAATATTATCTAGTATTAAATATTATCTAGTATTAAATATTATCTAGTATTAAATATTATCTCGTATTAAATATTATCTAGTATTAAATATTATCTAGTATTAAATATTATCTAGTATTAAATATTATCTAGTATTAAATATTATCTAGTATTAAATATTATCTAGTATTAAATGCGAATAAGCAATACGCAGCTCTGCTCCGGTACCTTTTATACTACACTGACGTGGGCGGGGCATATAAAGAGCGTCATCGCTCTGTGCTTCGTTAAAACGGTCTGTGGGCGGGGCCTACTACTGGTGTCCAGTGGGCGGGGTCAGCAAGCCCCGCAGGAGCTCTGGACCATTGAGAAGGCGTCTCGACCCCACCCCGCCCCCTCGCCCCACCCACACCCCGCCCCCCGGTTGCTATGGCGACGCGGCGCTTGGCTGCAACACGGAGGGCCGGGTTGAATTGCGATTTACTGTACAATGGTCAGTTCTACTTAATGTTAACTTTTTATAACTTTCCTTTACGAGTGTAACGTTACAAGTTTTAACAGGGCTTGCTTCGTGCTGAACTCGAGCCGCTTTTTATTTATTTCCCCGAACCGATGTGGTGAATCTGGTTAAAGGCGCATGCCGTGCAAGTGCAGGCTCACGGCCATGCACGGAGTAGGGACCTCACCCCCTCTAGAGAGACACATTTAGGCCTACTCTTCCACGCTTGGCCAGTTACGTCTTTGGAAGAGTGTGGGAAAGATACCCACACTTTACCTCACCTCAAGCTGCCGCTTGCTGGACGGAACATTTCCTCTCAGATTTTCCCGCCTCGAGCGAACTAAAACATATTTTTTTATTTTTTATTTTACCAGGTAAGGTCCACTGAGCTATATAAATATTTTTCAGTGACGACCTGGCCACAAATGATAGCACGACGAAGTAAGTTATCATCATGATCGTGTGGCAACTTACAGCGGCAGCCAAAGACCAAGATGTTAACTACCTCGCCTGGCCTACAGGAGGTCGTGGGTTCGGTCCCGACCCTGACGACGCCTGCTGCTGCTGCTGTATATTTGAAGTTTGCGTGTCTCTCTCTCTCTCATCATCATCACGGTGGCTAGGAGATGTTAACTACCTCGCCTGGCCTACAGGAGGTCGTGGGTTCGATGCCGACCCTGACGACGCCTGCTGCTGCTGCTGTATATTTGGAGTTTTCGTGTCTCTCTCATCACGGTGGCTATAAGATGTTAACTACCTCGCCTGACATACAGCAGGTCGTGGGTTCGATGCCGACCCTGACGACGCCTGCTGCTACTGCTGCTGTATATTTTGAGTTTTCGTGTCTCTCTCTCTCCCCGTGGTGGCTTGGATTTGTCTCCGGTCCTCCTCCGATTTTTCCTCCACATGTAGAATCGGCATCACCACGCGTGTAAGTTCAACATACGGTTGGCCACGTACGGTGCGAAAGGTGTTCAACACGTGTACATCCAAACAAACGATAGTAGAGCAAAGTATTTTGTAATGGTGACCAAATCACCTAAAAAATATGAACACATCAAATGAATGAATTTCGTTAAGCGCCGCGTCTCTGTTGTGTTTTCAACGTGAGCAGTCGGCCAGGAGCAGCGTCGTCGCCAGCGGCAAGAGGCGGTCGGGAAAGGTGGACAAGCAGAAGAAGGAGGAGGAACGCAGGAGGCAGGAGGAAGGTTTGTTGTCTTCCAGCATTGCGCCACGGTGGCCAGGAGATGTTAACTCCCTCGCCCGGTACGCAGGAGGGCATGGGGTCGATCCCGACCCTGACGATGCCTGCTGCTGTATATTTGGAGTTTGCGTGTCTCTCTCTCATCATCATCACGTTGGCTAGGAGATGTTAACTCCCTCGCCTGGTATGCAGGAGATCATGGGTTCGATCCCTACCCTGACGACGCCCGCTCTATATTTGGAGTTTGCGTCTCTCTCTCTCCCGGTGGATTTTTTTTCTGGGTCCTCCGGTTGTTTCCCTCCACATTCAGAATCAACAACACCACGCGTTTAGAGTATTTGGCTGTTGCTATATTAATGTCCACATGAGGTGCCACTTCGTTGAGTTAACGTTCTGACCCCGTGCCCCCTACTGGACATCTGTGAAAAAGAGCTCTATCGTTAATTGTATTTCTCCTGCAGTATATTCTGGTTATGGGCAAGTCGCTTCTGAAAAAGAGCTATCAATCTCAGTGGGCCTTACCTGGTAAAATAAAAAAAAATAGTTTATCGTTGTATCTAGCTTCTTATAATCCAACCTTGAGCCACTCACTTGCTTCCAAAAGTGCGGCTCGACTCAGGCTCCGCTCGTAGGGAAAAATCCCTGAGCATGCAAGGGGACCGTGCACTGGTCAGAGCTGGCTCAAAAGTTAAGCGTGGCTCTTTGAGCCGGCTCACTCGAGCCAGAGCCAAGCCGCCACTACAGCCTCGCACTCCACTCTCACAACTTCACCACCACCATTGGTTGTTGTTTGTCTGTCGGCGTGTGTCGTTGTGCAGTGGAGCGGTGAGCGCAGCGGTTAGCACGCTCCGCCACGAACCTGGAGACCCAAGCACGAACCTGGAGCCCCAAGTTCGCTTCCCACTCGCAGCCAACACCAGTGACGATTATCTGAACCGATCCTGGTCCTCCCCCTCTAGGTTAACTCACCCTCAAACGCGTACCTGGTGTGGTGTGTAAATATTGCCGCAAGGGAGACAAAAGTGGCCGGGCGTGGTGCTGGCCACCCACCCTCGTGTACCGCGCCGACCTTCATAGGTGCTGCTGCTCGCTAACGGCACTTGCCCTAACAGTCTGTTGAGGCTACACGGGGGATCTTTGTCTTTTGTCGTTGCGCAGAGGAGGCCCGCATACGGAAGGAGCAAGAGGAGGCGGAGAGGCATGAGAGGGAGCGGCTGGAGGTGGAGGAGAGGGAGCGGCTGGAGGCCAAGGTAACCCGGCCAGATGGTGATCGCCGTGGTTGACACGGACCCCCAATTGACGTGGACACTCCGTCTCGTGACGCGGTGCCAAGATAAAAAGTCCAGATCACGTTTGGGCACGATGGGAGTGGAGGGGTGGTTGGTGGGGGGGGGGGGCAAAAATGGACAAAACATTTCAAGAGGGGGGAAATAGAAAATAAAGTTACGCAAAAGTAAACAAAAAGTCTTGCTAAAATAAAGCACAAGTACAAACAACTTACGCTAAAGTGAAAAGATATGACGCAAAAACACAAAAAGGTTCGCAAAAGTTAAAAAAGGTGACGCAAAAATGACAAAAAGTTACGGAAAAGCAAAGTGACCGTGTTTGTTTGCGTCCAGGAACGCGAGCGCCGTGACGGTGAACTGGCGGAGCTGAGCGAGGCCCTGCAGGCTGTGTGGCTCAGCACAACGCAGGCGGACAGCCAGCGGAGAGCCAGCGCTCAGGTGATGACTACACGGCGACTCTCCAGGGGCTTGCGTTTCCTGCAGAGCTGACGAGATGTGTTAAATCATTTCTGTTCTTAATTAATTGTAATTTTACGATGACCTTCAGACCGCAGCTCTTTCGCCAGCATTGCCTCTTAATACCTCTCACACCACGGTTAATGGTATGGTTTACAACATGGAGTATACTAGGGCTTCGCAGCTGTCTCTCTCCCCCTCCTCTGTTCCGACCATGGACGAACTCGTCCGTCTGAACGGGGCCCGTAGCTATCCGTGGTACGGAAATTTGAGGGTAAGAATCCACCCATTTTTTTCGCCATATAGCATTGTGATATATAACGACTTATGGTTGGTAGCTTAGCTGATTGGAGAATATAGAGTTTATTGATAACATGAAGGTAATTTATATTTTAGTTTTTATTGGTTCACTATATAGTACTGTGAATAGCTCAGATGTGTAGTCATTTCTGTGACCAGTCACTAGCAAATCACCCAGTTATTTCAATGCTAAATTCGCCTAGTTATTTCAATGCTAAATTCTCCTGTTTTGATTTGTACTAAGTGCCTCGGTGAATGTGTATGCTCTGACTTCAACGTAACTATTTCTGTAGCAGTTACAAGCGAATGCCTTAATTTAGCTATTTCAATGCTAAATTCTATGCTAATTCCTTTTAACAATGGGTGCCTCTGCGGATGTGTATGCTTTAACTTTTAACATAGCTATTTCTGTGACCAGTCACAAGCTAATCATTCAGCCTTTTCAATGCTAAATTTTATGCTAATTCCTTCGTCAAGGCTCTTTGTTCCTCTCACACAGCTTAAAAGCCGTGATCTGAACGTGGCTCTCTCACTCCAGCGCTGTCCTACCAGACAGTCTCGCTCCCTTCACCTGATGAAGGCCGCTTGTGTTGTGGCCGAAACGTCGTGAGAATATTATTGTGTTATTTTATTTTATCAATTTATTATTTTATTCTCATTCTACGTGACTTTACCGAAAGAACCAAAGAAGCTGACGAGTGTTCATTTATTTTCAGTTATTTGCTTACCTTTACCTATACTTTGCACTCCTATCGTTTTTTTGTATTGTTTGTATGTGTGGATGTTGAAATTCTTTGGCACCGTGCGTAGCCAACCGTGCAAATTGGGGGTGCGTGGGTAGGACAACAAACTAAACACAAAAAGCACTTAGAAGTAAATGAGTTTGTCCGTCTTGATGATGATGATTTAAAAGTGCATGGCTCGGAAGGTTAGCCAAAGGCAACTGTGAGGATGACCAGAGTTTGCGTGATGATGGTTTATGCTCCTTGACGAGATCATCAAGGTATTTGGGTTCATTTGTGGCAAGCCAACCGTGCTAAGCTTCATCATATTAGGAAGCCGGTGGAGCTATGCACTTACGAATAATCTCGATTGAAAACTAATTTCTCTAGAACTGCTTTTTGCGTTTAATTTTGTTGTCATTCCCCCGCGCCGCCGATTAGCACGGTTGGCTACATGCGGTGCGAAAGACGTTCAACATACACACAGATGATCTGCTGATGCTGCTTCCGGATTAGTGCTGCTCTGAGTCCGCACCCTCTCGCGCCACTCGCTCGCAGTGGGAACGCTACATGCGTTGCGACGGCACCCCGGACCCGAGCGAGGCGAAGGAGATCAACACCTTCCTGAGCCTCTGGGCCGAGAGTGCCCCGCGTGACGTCGCCACGGCGCTACGGGAGTGCAGCACCGCCCTGGACGTGAGGGCGCGAACCCACGGCACCGACACAACCACCGCTCTATATTTCACCACCGTGGCGCCACGGTGGTGAGATGTTAACGGCCTCGCCTGGTACACAGGCGTGCGTGGGTTCGATCCTGACCCTGGTCGTGGATTTTTCTCCGGTTCCACATTTAGAATCAACGTGCGTTTAGAGTATTTGGCTACTGCTTTACATTTCCGCATGACGATAAGCCCCTGCTTGATGTCCCCACGGTGCTACGGGAGTGTAGCACCGCCCTGGACGTGAGGGCGCGAATCCACGGCACCAACACAACCACCGCTCTGCATCTGTATACACACACATACGTGTTTATTATTGGGGTGCCGTGGTGGAAAGATGTTAACTACCTAACCTGGTATGCAGGAGGGCGTGGGTTCGATGCCGATCCTGACTCCTGCTGTATATTTGGAGTTTGCTTGTTCTCTCTCTCTCCCCGTGGTCGCGTGGATTTTTCTCCGGGTGCTCCGGTTTTTCCCTCCACATTTATAATCAACATCACGCGTTGAGAGTATTTGGCTGCTGCCATAAATTTCCACACGATTATGATGATAAGCCACTTCGTTGAGCTATCATTTGTGAAAAAGAGCTATTTAGCTTAGTTTGTTATAATTGTTTTCCTACTCGTTTTTTTTTTTACACAGGAAAGCCTCGCTGAGTCTCAAGACTCGTTTTCAGGAGGGTTCCTGCCAAGTTTTTGCAGTAGGGGGGCGATGGTAAATGTAATTGAGTGATTTGCAGGTGATATTTCGTATGTATGTATGTTTAACTTATTTCGCACCGCATGTAGCCATCCATGCTAATTGGAGGTGCGGAGGAAGCACAACAAGCTAAACACAAAAAAGCAGTATTAAAGAAAATATTTTTCAATATAGATGATGATGATGATGATTTAAAAGTGCATAGATCCTAGTCGCTTCCTGATATCGGAAGGAAGAGCGTTCCAGACGGCCGTAAAAGCGCACCTGAACGCGCTGAGATACGGCGACCGTCTTTGTTCGATGGCCAGAAGCCGCTGCTGCTGCTGCTGCTGCGAGGTTGACCGGAGTTCCTGTGATGATGGTGCATCTGCCAGTCATCTCAACGTCAGCACTGGGGAGACAAAAGCAGCTAGGCGTTACATCGGTCAACCATCCCCCCTCATATAGGTCCCCCATAGAGGTGCGCCGTGCTGACCTTCATAGCTGCTCGAGAACGGAACTTTGCCCAATAACCTGTTAAGGCTATATGGGGGATCTTTGTCCTTGTCTCTCCCTCTCACCTCTTTTCTGTCCCGCGGTGTTGAGGGGGTGCGAGGATACAATTCGCGTCCGTCCGACCGCACCCTGCTGCTCCATGATTCTTGCATGGAGGGCGACGTGCTGTTGGATGCAGTCTGTTTTATAGAGGCTACATGCTGGATCTTTGCCTTCGTGGTGTGTGCAGCTAATTGAGGAGCTGGAGTTTGTTCTGGCTGACACGCCGGACAGAGTTCTCAATGTGCAGACCGTGTCGCGGCATCGCCACTCCATCCTGCAGCTGCAGGAGATCATTGCCAGCAAGCTGGACCAGGTCACCCATCACCTGCTGAAGGTGATTGGTTGATGGCTAGGAATGGGGTCTATCCAACTACGCTGCTGCACGTGGTGATGGTGGTGATGGTGGTGGTGTTGGCACAGTCGGGGTCACAGCTGGTGCATCTGCCAGTCATCTCAATCAGTCGACCCATGGCACCTGGGTCTGTCCCATTTTTAACTCCTACCAGCGAGGCTTCGACACATCACGTGGCCTCAAAGTGCACCTGGCCTAGGCACAGGCACCGTGATGATGTCACCGTCACTTCGTGGCGAATGGCTCTGGGTATTGGTGTTGCTGATGATAGTGGTGGTGGTGATGGCGGTAGTGTAGCAGTTAACATGCTGCACGACGAATTCTGCGACCCGAGTTCGATTCTCGCTCACAATCAACATCAGTGGCGATTATCAAACCAGTCCCGGGCCTACCCTAGGTTGACTCGGCCTCAAATGAGTACCTGCTGCAGTGTGTAAACATTGTCATTGGGGAGACAAAGGCATTCGGGTGTGGTGCTGGCCACTCAATCCCTCGTGTGCCATGCCGGCCTTCATAGGTGCTACTCATTAACAGCACTTGACCTAAGTCTGTTGAGACTATACGGGGAATCTTTGTGTGCCGAGTGCCAGTGTGCAAGCAAGGACGCCGACCTCGAGACAGGCAACCTCCAGACGGTGGTGGAGAGCTCCTTCATGACCCTCATGCTGTGGGCAAACGTCAACAAGAACCCGAGGTGGCACACCCTGGGTGGCACACGGCGTGGCACACAGTGGCACACTGGCTGGCACACTGGCTGGCACACAGGATCGCATCCCCGACGTGAAACCGAGTTGTCACCGTAATTTTAAAATAAATTAAGTAATTATTATTATTACAGTTACAATTCGCGCACATTCCTTTCTGCCACGTTGTCCGCCCAATCACCTCCACAGGTTTAAAGGCTACGAATTTGCGGATCGGGGCGTGGGCTTCGAGCTGCCCAGGCCGCTGGCCGCTTGCCCGGTCGCCGTGCGCATCCTGTGGACCCGCTACGACCACCTCACAACCGCAACAACGACGACGGACGCCGTTCCCGCCGGACCAGCCGCCGATCCGGCTGAACGATCGGACGCGAGACCGCGGACGGGAGACGCAACGGTGGCGCCGCGGGAGAAGGAGCGGCGGGAGGAGGAGGGAGACGAGCAGGAGGGGAAGGAGGAAGGGGAGGCCGCCGTTGACGATGGTGGCGGAGGAGGTGGAGCGGAGGAGCCGAGCGCGCAGGCAGAGGAAGGTGCGGCGCAAATTGAGAGGCGCAAGGTGAGAGGAGGCGGCGGCGGTGGGAGGGAGGGAGGGATTTAACCCCCCCCCCCCCCTTGTTCCGGCCGTTCACCCTGGTTCTGAGCGAGTGGGTGAGTAGGTGAGTAGGTGGGTGAGTGGGTAAACTGCTCTTTGCCTGCTAGTTCTGGCCGTCTACCCAGCAGGTTCTGTTTATTTCCGTGCTTTCCATGCACGGCGGCGCTTTGATGGGATCTACGGATGAAATGCGCCACTTTGCACGTGTAAATTATTTAACTATTAACCTATTTTTTTATTTTACCAGGTAAGGCCCACTGAGCGATATAGCTTTTTCTCAGAGGAGACCTGGCTATTACAAATGATAGCTCAAAGAAGTGGATTATTGAGTGGAAATGTATAGCAGCCAAATACTCTAAACGCGTTATGTTTATTCTAAATGTAGTGGGGAAAAACCAGAGGGCCCGTAAAAAAATCCATATGACCACAGGGAGAGAGAGACGCAAGCAAATATACAGCAGGCGTCAGGGTCAGGATCAAACCCACGAGCTCCTGCATACCGAAACATCCAATGTCGATCAAACTAGACGTGAAGCACGCTCCTTCGGCCTCGTGTACGCAGAGTCCAATAAGCACCTCATCACAGGCGGATGATGAGAAGGTTGCTGGGACAGAGGAGGAGACGGAGGAGGAGGGGATCACCGTGGTGGAGACGGACCGAGCTGCACCTCCAGGTGAGCCGCAGTTACGCCCTGAGCAGGCCTAAACCAAGATGTTAACAGCCTCGCCTGGTATGCAGGAGGTCGGGGGATTGATCCCGACCTTGACGCCTGCTGGATATTTGTAGTTTGCATGTCTCTCTCTCCCTGTGGTCGCGTGGATTTTTCCTCTGAGTCCTCCGGTTTTTCCCTACACACTTAGAATCAACATTACGCATTAAAATAATGTCGATTTTTTTTGTTGTTGCTGCTATAATCCATAATAGAAGCACCTGATTGGCTCACAAGTGGCTACATCATATTTATCCATCTATTTAAGAAAGAAACTGGAGGATTTTCCCACAAATCTGGCTGCCGCCTGATGATGCTAGTTGTAATTGCTGGCGAAACGTCATACTGGAATTGTAAATGTTGTGGGTTTACTCTCCAACACATCGGTGTGCTGTACTAGTAACGAATGGCTATGTTTTGTTTACGTGACAAACCTTACTAATTGGCTGTGTCGCGTGGTGGCAGGTTTAACAACATATATTTACGCGATCTAACACAAAAAAACCTCTTACATATTGGTCGCGAAAGCCTACGTGTTAAACTTTCTGCTATAAATTTCCCCATGACAAACGACTTTGTTGAGATATCATTTGTGGCCAGGTCGCTTGGGAAAACGAAGCTAGTAGTTTAATGGTAAGACAAACATCATTTAGTTTTCTTTGTATATTTTTTAAATGATTTGTTTACCTTTCCTATACTTTTCACTCCCTATCGTGTTTTTGTATTGTTTGTTGCTGTAACGATCTAACCCGGTGCCCCGACTGGACATCTGTGAAAAAAAGCTTTATAGCTCATCGGATTCCTCCAGTATAAATATTCTGAATGATCACCATCGTCATCAGTGCCCACAGCTAGGGTCTATCCGCTGCTGAATGAAGGCCCTCCCTCTGTCTCCGTGCCATTGCTCCCCATCGCGCTCCATCTCCACGGAGGATGGCTTCTCTCGGGCGTGTTCCGTTTGTTGGCTGCCGCTCTCGCCGTTAGTCTGGACCATCGGCCGTCATCCGAACTCGGCCATGATGTCATGTGCCCTGCCCAAGCCCATTAACTTTTCTCAGCAATAATTAACTTTTATTGAAAAAATTGCCAAGCAAAACCCCGAATACAAAGTGGATTTCAAAAAGAGGGGTAGAAAAACTGCAGATAACTAAACGAAATGGCTTATCACGTGGAAATGTATAGCAGCATCCAAATGCTCTAAACACGCATTGATTCTAAATGTGGAGTGGAAAAACTGAAGGACCCGGAGAAAAATCCATGCGAGCACGGGGAGAACATCCAAACTCCACTCACTCACAGACTCACATTCTGCAGAGCACGGGAAGGCAATACGAAAGCGCACCCGAGCTCAGCAATGCGTGTTGTCCTGCGAGGCACCGCGCTGCCGCTCTGCCATTGACCCTTGACGATGAACGTTGTCTCCGGTCTCAGAGCTGCCGGTGCAGCAGCATGGTGGGACGATGGGGAGCGACGAGGTGGACTTGAGACAGCAGTGGCCTCTCTGCGGAGTCCTCTACGTGGATCTCCTGGAGCTGCCTCCGCAGCCCACGCTCATCAGTGGCTGGACCATCACGCAGGCGAGTGAACGCGGCAACGTTGGCAGGTGAACGCGGCAACGCTGGCAGGTGAACGCGGCAACGCAGGCAGGTAAATGTGGCAATGCTGGCAGGTGAATGCGGCAATGCTGGCAGGTGAACGTGGCAACCCAGGCAGTCAACACTGCAGGTGTACACATCAACGCTGGCAGGTGAACATGGCAACGCTGGCAGGTGAACGTGGCAACGCTGCAGGTGTACACGACAATGCTGCAAGTGCAACGTTGCCGTAGGAACAGCTGGAGACTAGTCCACACTTGTACCGTCTTCTCCTGGCAGAGCCGGTGGTACGGCTCGTCCTCAACGGCAACCCACGGCTTAGGGAAGGGAGTTTTGCGACATCTGTGCAGTGATCCACAACCCTCGCTGTTGCTGCCTTCACACACAGAGCTGGATCGCTACACGCAGCCACGTGCAGCAACAGCAGCGTAGCCACCATGACGATCACCGCCACCACGATCAAACAAAGATCTTCCGTATAGCCTTAACATACTGTTGGGGCAAGTCCTGTTAGCGAGCACCTATGAAGGCCAGAACGGCACATGAGGGGGTGAGGGGCCAGCACCACGCCCAGCCGCCTTTGTCTCCCTAGTGGCTGAGTCGACCTAGGGGGAGGCCGAGGACCGGTTCAGATAATCGTCACTGATGTTGACCGTGAGCGGGAATCGAACTCAGGTCGCCAGGTTCGTAGCACAGTGCGCTAACCACTACACTACCTCTCCCCCTATCACCACCATCACTGCCACCGCCGCCCGCATTTTGAATTGGTACCTGTGTTGTGTTGCACTCGTAATGCCGTCATCTCTGGGGTGGGACCTGCGTGCAAGCGTGTGTGCGTTGGGGGGTGGGGGTATGTATGCATGCGTACGTAAGTATGTTGAATTTCATTCGCTCCGTATGTAGCCATCCGTGCTAATTGGAGGTGCGAAGGAAGCACAAAGAACTAAACACCAAAAGCAGTTATAAAGAAATGAGTCTGTCAATCTAGATGATGATTTAAAAGTGCATAGCTTCAGTGGCTTCCAAATATCGGAAGGAAAAGCCTTCCAGATGGCTGGAGAGGTACATCCAAAAGCGCGCGATGCGGTGACCGCTTTTGTTCGACAGCCATCCAAAAGTGTAGTGTATAGTGTAGTGTATAGCAGTGTATAGTGTAGTGTATAGCAGTGACGTGCGGTGAGGTCAATGGCTGGGGAGGCACTGGCTCGTGTCAGAGCCAGATTCACACAGAGGGGGGCGTGCCCTCACGGATGGGGGCGTGTTAGACACGAGGGGGGCGTGTTAGACACGAGGGAGGCGTGGCCTCACTGAGAGGGGCGTGTCCTCACTGAGGGGGGGCGTGTTAGACACGTCCCCCCTCAGTGAGGCAGATGTGATAGCTGCCTCCCCTGGTGCTTTTTCAATGCAGTTTCATGACGCGACCAGCGAGCCTAAATATCTTTATACGCATACGTGAAATAAGTTACCTGGCGTATGGAAGGCGAGGACATGAAATGAAGGGGTCTACAAACATTACATTGGTGACATACTGAGATAGTGACAGGCACGCGCTTATTGTCTGCGCTCCATCCAGTTACTGAGGGGTTGCGCAATCAGAGGGGAGGCTGAGCTCGTCGCTGCCTCACCTCTCGTCCCTTCCTGCATTTGCAGCGGAGCTCCGCAAATTTGGCGATTTTGACTATGAAAGTAATTGGAATCGTACACCAATGACATTTATAACACAGATCAGTGGAAAAATCTTAATATTTATTTAATTTTATTCTTTTTCTTTACTTTTCCTAAGCTATTTTAATTGGAGTATGGCAGGTGAGGCTCTGCCTCCCCTGCCTCCCCTGACTGCACGTCCCTGGTGTATAGCCGTGTATAGTGTTGTGTATAGCAGTGTAGAGTGTAGTGTATATAGCATCTGAAAGCGTGCGATACGTTGATCGTCTTTGTTCAACCGCCAGCCAAAAGCTGCGAGGCCGACCGGAGTTTGCTTGCTGGTGGTTTACGTTCCTTGACGGGGTCGGGGTCTCGTGTTGTTTGCCGCAGGAGCTAGAGGAGGAGGGGGGCCTGCGGTCATACCCCTACCGTGGCGGCGACGCGGCAACGCAAAGGGGGGCCCCCTCGGCGGGTGATTCCCGGGGGGCCGGCGAGGAGCACGACACGGAGGGGGAGCCGCGTGACCCCCCACTGGGGGTCACGGTGGCCGTGCCGCCCTCGCTCGTGGTGTTCGAGGCTCCGCAGGTCGCCCGTTGGGACCCACAGAGTGAGCGAGTGAGCGAGCGAGTGAGCGAGCATGTGAGCGAGTGTGTGAGTGAGTGAGCGAGTGTGTGAGTGAGTGAGCGTGTGAGCGAGTGAGCGAGTGTGTGAGTGAGTGAGCGAGTGAGTGAGTGAGTGAGCGAGTGAGTGAGCGAGTGTGTGAGTGAGTGAGTGTGTGAGTGAGTGAGCGTGTGAGCGAGTGAGCGAGTGTGTGAGCGAGCGAGCGAGTGAGCGAGCGAGTGAGCGAGTGAGTGAGCGAGTGTGTGAGTGAGTGAGCGAGTGAGTGAGCGAGTGAGTGAGCGAGTGAGCGAGCGAGTGAGCGAGTGAGTGAGCGAGTGAGCGAGCCACGTAGAGGAACAGTAAGCAATGTAAATCAGAATGTTTATTTGTGTATCCTGGAGAAAGCCCATGAGCTGCGAAGCTCTTTTTACAATAGATGTCACGTAAGGGCCCCCCCCCCTTACCGGACATCTGGGGGTCAGAAAGTTACAACGACAAACAAAACAACAAAAAACCCGAAAGAAATGCAAAGTGTAGGGAAAGATAAGCAAATTACTTTAAATATATAAATATAAATCAAGTATTTGAGTACAAATTGCAAAAGTACACCGTCGGCAGGAGTTTCACAGCAGCGGGCAATGTTGCCACGCGGCTTTACCCAATTCGGTGATTTGAAAATAAATATATACTAAAGCTATATTTTGTGTTATTTTACCAGGTAAGGCTCACTGTGCTATATAGTTATTTTAGAAGCGACGTGGCCACATAGCTCGACGGAGACGTGGTGTTGATTCTAAACGTGGTGAGAAAAACCGGGGGAGAGAAAGACGCAGACTCCAAACATACAGCAGCAGGCATCAGGGTCGGCATCGAACCCACGACCTCCAGCACACCAGGCGAGGTAGTTAACATCTCGTCAGCCGCGGGGCGTCCCCCGCCCCACCTCACATCCACCTTCTCCGCCGTCACAGGACAGCGCTGGCGGACGGATGACGTGAGCGACGTGACGTACGACGAGGCCACCAGGAAGCTGGCCTTCCGGCTGGCGACACCGGGGCCCGTGTGCCTCCTGGCGGACGCCCACGTGAACATGCCCTACCACGGCTGGGAGCTTCGCTCGACCGGGCCCCAGCGGGTCTTGTTCACCGTCATGGCCGCCTTTGTCGACGTCGAGTTCGAGATACGGGTTCGTCGCCGCTGGGCAAAATCGCTGAGCGGCAACGTTTGTCGGCGGTGTTTTTTTTTTTGGGATACCGTGGGGGGGGGCTGGCTAGGAGATGTTATCGCCCTCGCCTGGTGTGCAGCAGATCATGGATTCGATCCCGACCATGACGATATCTGTTGTATATTTGGAGTTTGCTATTCTAGCAGATCGGGGTTGGAGATGGGCCAGGGGACGGACCACCCTTGTGGTGCCACAGTGGCTAGGAGATGTTCACTACCTCGCCTGGTATGCAGGAGGTCGTGGATTCAATCACGACCCTGATTCCTGTATATTTGGAGTTTGCGTGTCCCTCTCTCTCTCTCTCCCTGTGGTCTCGTGGATTTATTTCCAGGTCCTCTGGTTTTTCCCTCCACATTTAGAATAAATATCACGTGTTTAGAGTATTTGGCTGCTAGAAATTTCCACCTGAATATAAGCCACTTCGTTGAGCTATCATTTGTGTGGCCAGGTTGCTTCTGAAAAAGAGTTACACAGCTCAGTGGGCCTTATTTGGTAATATAAAAATAGTTTAGTTTAACATAACAATTCGTTGTTTAGTTTTAACAGCATGATCAACCCCAACAGTCCGTTAAAGGCTAGACGGGGATGAATCTTTGTCTGTTGTGGTATCAGCCGGGCGAATGCCGTCTGTGTGAGCTGCCGGAGGAGGGGGGCGAGAGCAACACCCTGTCGTCTCTGCGCGGCGCGTGGATGAGTCCTGCCAGGCTGCGCGACACCCTGCGACGACACGGCCTCAACGTCTTCCCCGGAGCGCACTCGGACAAATACGTGGCCGTCAACGTAAAGGTGCTCACGGGCGCGGCTCGTCACACACAACAACAACAACAAAGCACTCGCCACAGATTAACCGCTTTACCGCCTCGCTGCTTGAGCTCGTCGAGGAGCGTTAAACCATCATCACGCGAACTCCGGTCAATCCTCGCAGCAGCGGCTTTTGGCTAGCCATTGAACAACGATTCGTCGCCGCATCGCGCTCTTTCAGAGGTGCTTCCAGTGGCCGTCTGGAACGCTCTTCCTTCCGATATTGGAAAGCTACCGGGAGCTTTGTACTTTTAAGTCTAGATTGAAAACGTATTTCTTTAGGACTTATTTTTGTGCTTAGTTTGTTGTCCTTCCCCCACACCTCCAATTAGCAGGGTTGACCATGTACGTTGCGAAATAAGTTCAACATACATGCACATAAATGGGGTGCCACGGTGGCGAGATGTGAACCACCTCAGCTGGCATACAGGGGTAGTGGGTTTCATTCCTACTCTGACGTCAATATATTTGGAGTTTGCATGTTCTCCCCGTGGTCGTATTTTTCTCTGGATCCTCCGGTTTTTCCCTCCACATTCAGAATCAACATAACGCGTTTTGAGTAGTTGGCCGGTATAAATTTCCACATCATGATAAGCCAATTCATTGAGCTATCATTTTTGGTGGCCAGGTCGCTTCTGAAAAAGTGCTACATAACTCGGTGGGCCTTACCCAGTTAAATAAAAATAGTTGATAGTTTATAGTGTTTTTATAAACTTGGGGAAAAAATTGGACCGTGACATCTGGCACGCAGCCAGCTTGCTTAGATCAATGTCGATGGAGGGTTAGGGGAGTGAGTGCCGTTAGAAGTGCCCGTCTAACATTTGTGGCCAGGTTGTTTTTGACAAATAAGTTAATACCTCAGTGGGCTTTGCCTGGTCGGATGGGGATGGTTTAGTATTTGTATGTGTTTGGGTGATTTGTTCGCCTTTCCTGTACTTTGCACTCTTAGCGTGTTTTTGTACTGTTGTTGTAACGTTCTTACCCCGTGCCCCTTCTTCTAGACATGTGAAAAAGAGCTTTATAGCTCATTGGATTCCGCCAGTATGAATATTCTGATTATAACACCACCAGGACGCGCAGGCAGAGAGCAGGGCCTACGAGCAGATGGCCCTGCTGGTGTCAACCTTCTCCTTCTCCTGGAGCCGATGGAATGCGACCAGGGGTGCTCACCAGCTCGTCATGCAGGTGACACGTGCACTGCACATATCCACGGTGGCTAGGAGACGTTTTTTTAACCCCTTCCCGATCCGAGACGTCTTCTGCAAGTTGCAGGGTGTGGGTGTCCCGTTCACCGCTGAATCCCGGAACGCGCAAGCGGCTCGTCGTTCAATTTATTTAGAGAGGCGTAATAGCGCCGTTGTTTTTTAAGACGTTGTACTCACCGCGGAGAACTCTAGCGACACGGCCGCCCTCTACGATAGCTGCTGGTGCCAAACTGTGACACGCCTCACGTGCACGGCCTTGTGGGAGCCTTGGTCCCGATAAAGTTTTTCTCTTTTTCTTTTTACTTCTGGTTTCGTTTTGATGATGTACACATACGTCATCGGAATGGGAAAGGGTTAACTACCTCGCCTGATATGGAGGAGGTCGTGGGTTTGATCCCGGCCCTGATGACGCCTGCTGTATATTTGTAGTTTGCGTGTCTCTCTCTCCCCGGGGTAGCGTGGATTTTCTCCAGGTCATCCGGTTTTTCCCCTCCACATTTAGAATCAACATCATGCATTTACAGTATTTGGTTACTGCTCTACATTTCCACACGGTGATGATGAGCCACTTCGTTGAGCAATCATTTGTGATAGCCAGGTCGCTTCTGAAAAAGAGGTACATAGCTCAGTGGGGCCTAACCTGACACAATAAAAAGTCGTTTTTTGTTTAATAGTTTTAGATTTTCATGATAGTTATTTATAATATAGCATTTCGATCGCATTTTTTGGTTTGTTTTGGGCCCCAGGTGCGCGAGGGCGAGGAGGCCGCCGCCGGCGGCGCCGCCTGGGGCCTGCTGCTGGTGACGGCCGAGCGGTCGTGCCGGCTGCGGATGCCCGAGTCGGCTCCGGCCTTCACCGACGAGCTTCCCGATGGCGCCGAGCTTCACTCCACGCTGTGCCACGCGCTGCTTGCCCAGCGCGAGTCCACTCCCACGGAAATGCGAGCCGCCGCCACGGCCGCGCCGGCGCTGACGTCCACCCTGCGCCAGCTGCTTGCCTCCACCAGGGTCCTCTCCTACTGCTAGTGGCCGACGCTCGTGGGGTGGTTCCACACACACACACACGGTGTTTTTCTATATATATATGTTTGCTTGTGGTAACCTGAACGAACTTAACTATTTTTTATTTTACCAGGTAAGGGTACACTGAGCTATATGAGCTCTTTTTTCAGAAGCGACCTGGATATCACAAATGATAGCTCAACGAAGTGGATTATCATCATCATCATCGTGTGGAAATGTAGAGCAGACAAATAAATACTCTCAACGCGAGACGTTGATTCTAAATGTGGAGGGGAAAACCTGGATATCACAAATGATAGCTCAAGGATGTGGTGGCTTATCACATCGAAATTTGCAGCAGCAAAAGACTCTAAACGCGTGACATTGATTCTGAATGCAGAGGGAAAAAACCGGAGGACCCGGAGACAAATCCACACGACCACAGGGAGATGCAAACTCAAGATATAAAGGAATCAGGGTTGTGATCAAACCCACGACCTCCTGCATACCTGGCAAGGTAGTGAACATTTAGAGTCAACATCACGTTTTCAGAGTATCTGGCTGCTGTTATAAATTTCCACATGAGCCACTTCTCTCTAGCTATCTGTGATAGCCAGGTCGCTTTTGAAAAATAGCTCAAGTATAGTTCAGTGTGGGGCCTTACCTGGTATAATAGAAACATAGCTAACTCGCTCTCGAAGAGAGGGGACACCTCAGAGGTGCATGGAGGAACCACAGATGAGCGGGAAGGCAGCGAAACGATGAGCCGGCACCTACAATCGCCCAAGTTACCTACCCCTGTGATCATCATCATTATCGTCGCCATCATCGCAAGCAGCAGCAGCAGCAGCCATGATTCTGCGACGTAACAATCCAGCCACCACAATCCAGCCACCACAAGAGCCGATTTCATCACTTCATCTCCAAGGTAGCCGTCCTCTCGGACATGTTCCATTCCTTGGCTGCCACTCCGTTTTTTACTCTTGACCATTTGTTATCATCTACGTCCCTTCTGGCCATGACGCATCCTGCCCAAGCCCCACTCACTTTGCGTTAACGGTTTGGATGTCATTAAACATTTTCCGTTCCGATGACATACGTGTACATCAGCAGTTTTTCTTATGATTCCGTTCCGATGACATACGTGCAATTTATTTTAAGTTGTTTTTACATAAACGTCACCATAACGGAACCAGAATAAAACATAAATAATAACTTTCATCTTCTTGGTTCTTTCGGTAAAGTGACGTAGAGGGGAAATAATAAAAATAAAGCAATACATTTATTTAATGTTTTATTTTATTATTTCCCTTCTACGTGACTTTACCGAAAGAACCAAGAAGGTGAATCCCTGCAGTCACGAAAAGCTTTAAATCGAAAAATAAAAACTATCGGCGCCGAGGCTACCACAAGGCCACGCGGGAGGGCGTGTGGCACAGTTTGGTGCCAGCTCGCGCAGAGTTTCGGCGGTCATGTCACGACGGTTCTCTGCGGTGAGTAGCAACGTCTTTAAAAACAGCGGCGCTACTGCTGTGCCTCTCTACGTAAAGTGGACGTTGAGCCACTTGCGCGTTGCGAGATTCCGCGGTGAACGGGGACACCCGCCACCTTGCAACTCTCAGACGTTGCGGAACGGGGAAAGAGGTGAACCTGCGTCTATTCTCTAATCCACTTGCTCCTCTTCAGCTTTTGTTAAATTTTTCCTTGTCGGCATCCAATGTGTCTGGCCCATCTTGTCATGCCAGTGTTTTTCTATATTTTTCAGAGGGGGGAGGGGGGGGGGCACTTTCGCCGATAAGACATCATCAGTGTGAGGGTCGCCACACATGAAACCATTGGGGGTTTGACAGCACGATGATGGGGGGTGTTTTCACATGTGTTGCGATGGGGGCTGAATATCAGGGGGCCGCACTGAAGGCCAACAGGGGCTGCCAGAGGCCCGGGAGCCTTGCAATGTAGAACACCGCTCTCTAGGCACACAGGGGGCACAAGCTATCCATTGTTGCTGTGTGAATACAAGTGCCGGCAAGGCTGAAGACTTATCTCTTCTCGTCTTAACTAGATTTATAAAGCACCATTACCAAGGCACTACAGCAATTATAAAATTGTACATAGCATGATAATTTGAAATTAATATTTGGGTTATTGTAAGTGGTAGTGTAGTTTTGATGCAGTAAAACGAGAAGGATTGATAAGGAGGAGTTTGGATAGGTCTGGTCATAGCTGGGGGGCTGAAAAGTAATCCGGCATCATTGCATTGGGAAGACAAAGCGGGCGGTGAGGGGCTGGAGCCAGGAGGGAAAAGGGGGTCGAGTTCCCTGCACCGCCACCAACTACAGCAGCGCAAGCAGAAAGCCTCCGTCAGGAGGTCGTCGGTTCGATCCCGAGCCCCTGACGACACCAGATGTATATGTGGCGAGATGTTCACTACCTCGTCTGGTATACAGGAGGAAGTGGATTCGATCCCGACCCTGACGATGCCTGCTGCTGTATATTTGGAGTTTTTTTCCCCCTACGTTAAGCCATACATCTCAGTGGGCCTTATCTGGTAAAATACAAAATAGTTTAAAAGTTAAATAATTTACACATGCAAAGTGGCGCATTTCATCCGCAGATCCCACCAATGCGCTGCCGTGTATGGAAATCACGGAAATAAACAGAACCCGCTGGGCACACGGCCAGAACTAGCAGGAAAAGGCCAGTTTACCCACTCACCAATTCACCCACTCATCTACACACTCATCCTCTCACTCATCCACTCACCCACCTACTCACCAACTCACCCTCTCACTCATCCACTCACCTACTCACCCTTTCACCCACTCACTAATTCACCTACTCACCTTCTCACCCACCTACTCACCAACTCACCCTCTCACCCACTCACCAACTCACCCTCACTCATCCACTCACCTACTCACCCTTTCACCCACTCACCAATTCACCTACTCACCCTCTCACCCACCTACTCACCCTTTCACTCACCCTCTCACTCACCCACTCACACCCACCTACTCACCCACTCACCAACCCACCCTCTCACTCATCCACTCACCCACCTACTCACCCTTTCACCCACTCACTCACCAATGCACATACACACTCACCCTCTAACTTGTGGTAGCAAGGTCGCTTTTAAAAACGAGCTTCATATCCATACCTGGTTAAAACAAAAATATTTTAAAATGCTTGAGTTTAGTCCGGCTAGGGAAGGATTTTTGCGTGAATCTGGAGGTTTTCCCTCCCGTAACTGGCAAGGTGGTGGTAGGGGGGGCGCTCTCACCTTGCTCCATTTCCGATCACGACCGCTGGCGACCTCGCAGAAGTCGACGTCTCCGAGGTAAAGTTCGAACCACGCCAACATTCGTCTTTATTCTACAGTACCTTCACAAGCAGCTCACTCTTCGTAAAGACGGGCCACGATCCTTCTAATCAACAAACTCGCGCGCGAAACAACCCGGCAGCATCGATGCATTTGCGCCTCTGGGCCCTGTCAAACTCTAACACGCTACAGTGCTGTACAGTAGGGTACGTGAATACTATTAAACGCTTTTGTTTAGCACAGAATACGCCTCGTTATCGTCGTAAATTTGATTAAAATAAATATTCCACAAGGTGCACGGTTATCCACCACCATCAGAGCAGCCGTAGTCGATCCACTGCTGGTTGAAGGCGTCCCCCATAACAATTACAGTACAATGCCTCTAAAAGCAATTTTTTTTTAAATAAAATATTGAGCCCCATTAACAAACCTCGGAATTCCGATCTCGAAAATGAAAGCTCAGCAGAAGTTGTGTGGGCCTGGGTAGCTGCTCTGACGGGTAACCAAAGATTAAGATCCCCCGTTGTAGCCTCAACAGACTGTAGGGGCAAGTGCTGTTAGCGAGTACACGAAGGGGGTGGGTGGCCGGCACCACGCCGGGCCGCCTTTGTCTCCCCAGTGGCGATGTTTACTACACACCGCACCAGGTACTCATTTGAGGCTGAGTCGACCTAGGGGAGGCCTCAGATCGGTTCAGATAATCGCTGTCACCGGTGTTGGCCGTGAGCGGGAATCGAACTCGGGTGACCAGGTTCGTAGCACCCACCACCACCATGTCCGTGCTTACCAGGTGCTATCGGTTTGCTGATACGGGGCAATGGACATCAGAGGGCATTGTAGCAAAAAGCCCATTGTACTGCACTTCTACGGCACCACGCCAATTGATTGCCTCCACTCACGCGCCTTCAACCAGCGAGCACTCACCGGCGTGGTGAAGTATGGTCAAATATACCACATGTGTGCGCGCACCACACGTGCTCAGCACGTGGTGTGGTGCACGGCACGTGGTGTGGTGCACGGCACGTGGTGTGGTGCACGGCACGTGGTGTGGTGCACGGCACGTGGTGTGGTGCACGGCACGTGGTGTGGTGCACGGCACGTGGTGTGGTGCACGGCACGTGGTGTGGTGCACGGCACGTGGTGTGGTGCACGGCACGTGGTGTGGTGCACGGCACGTGGTGTGGTGCACGGCACGTGGTGTGGTGCACGGCACGTGGTGTGGTGCACGGCACGTGGTGTGGTGCACGGCACGTGGTGTGGTGCACGGCACGTGGTGTGGTGCACGGCACGTGGTGTGGTGCACGGCACGTGGTGTGGTGCACGGCACGTGGTGTGGTGCACGGCACGTGGTGTGGTGCACGGCACGTGGTGTGGTGCACGGCACGTGGTGTGGTGCACGGCACGTGGTGTGGTGCACGACACGTGGTGTGGTGCACGGCACGTGGTGTGGTGCACGGCACGTGGTGTGGTGCACGGCACGTGGTGTGGTGCACGGCACGTGGTGTGATTAACCTTGACACGCGCACGCAACAAAACACATTGCGACAGAGACAGGCGAGAGGAATTTGACTTTCAGCAAACTTCAACACCGCACCACTCTGAGACTCGCAGTCGTCCACCATCTCTCAGTCGTCCACCACCCTCAGTCGTCCACCACACCCCTCAGTCGTCCACCACACCCCTCAGTCGTCCACCATCTCTCAGTCGTCCACCACCTCTCAGTCGTCCCACACATCTCAGTCGTCAACCACACCCCTCAGTCGTCCACCACACTCCTCAGTCGTCCACCACACTCCTCAGTCGTCCACCACACCCCTCAGTCGTCCCACACATCTCAGTCGTCCACCACCTCTCAGTCGTCCCACACATCTCAGTCGTCCACCACACCCTCAGTCGTCAACCACACCCCTCAGTCGTCCACCACACCCTCAGTCGTCCACCACAGGCGCCAGAGTTCCGAGTCCATCTCCCGCCACGGTAGCTGAAACGCAGTCGTGGTGGAGCGTTTTTGTTTTGTTAATAAACACAACACATACGTAGTGAATATAATAAATACAACACATACGTAGTGACTATAATAAACAGAACACATACGTAGTGAATATAATAAATACAACACATACATAGTTAATATAATAAACACAACACATACGTAGTGAATATAATAAATACAACACATACGTAGTGACTATAATAAACAGAACACATACGTAGTGAATATAATAAATACAACACATACATAGTTAATATAATAAACACAACACATACGTAGTGAATATAATAAATACAACACATACGTAGTGAATATAATAAATACAACACATACGTAGTGAATATAATAAACACAACACATACGTAGTGAATATAATAAACACAACACATACGTAGTGAATATAATAAATACAACATATACGTAGTGACTATAATAAATACAACACATACGTAGTGAATATAATAAACACAACACATACGTAGTGAATATAATAAATACAACACATACGTAGTGAATACAATAAATACAACACATACGTAGTGAATATAATAAATACAACACATACGTAGTGAATATAATAAACACAACACGTACGTAGTGAATATAATAAACACAACACATACGTAGTGAATATAATAAACACAACACATACGTAGTGAATATAATAAATACAACACATACGTAGTGAATATAATAAACACAACACATACGTAGTGAATATAATAAACAACACATACGTAGTGAATATAATAAACACAACACATACGTAGTGAATATAATAAATACAACACATACGTAGTGAATATAATAAATACAACACATACGTAGTGAATATAATAAATACAACACATACGTAGTGAATATAATAAATGCAACACATACGTAGTGAATATAATAAATGCAACACATACGTAGTGAATATAATAAATACAACACATACGTAGTGAATATAATAAATACAACACATACGTAGTGAATATAATAAATGCAACACATACGTAGTGAATATAATAAATGCAACACATACGTAGTGAATATAATAAATGCAACACATACTTAGTGAATATAATAAATGCAACACATATGTAGTGAATATAATAAATACAACACATACGTAGTGACTAATAAATACAACACATACGTAGTGAACATAATAAATACAACACATACGTAGTGAATATAATAAATGCAACACATACGTAGTGAATATACTTCACTAGACTTTTGCCCGTCCAAGGACGGGTGTTTTGCAGTAAATATGAAACTCGCAAGTGAAAATCAGAGCGCGACGTGATATCCATTGCATCAATGCGTGTGCAGTTAGTAAGGGCGCGGTGACACAGACCTATTTAATTTACAGGTTATAATCCCTTGTTCATCACGACGTCCTTTTTACTTCGATGTCTCAACAGCAGCGTGACGGAGATCACGTGATGACGTGAGGGTTCTGTCTGTGTAGTGAGGGTGAGATCACGTGATGACGTGAGGGTGAGATCACGTGATGACGTGAGGGTTCTACCTGTGTAGTGAGGGTGAGATCACGTGATGACGTGAGGGTTCTGTGTCGTGAGGGTTGTGAGTTGACGCAGAGGGGGGGGGAGGAGGCGCCCCCCCCCCTTGTGGATTGACGTCACCCGCTAATTAATAATAATGGCGGGGGGTGTCCATTTGGAAGACGTCACCCGCTCATGATTATTAATGAGGGGGGGGGGGGGGTCTATGTGGAGTGACGTCACCTGCTCACGATTATTAATGAGGGGGGGTGGGTCTATGTGGAGTGACGTCACGCGCAGGACACAGACATTCTTGGCTCATCATAGTCGCAAACGGGACACGTGATGTGCAGGGTGAGGAAGGGGAGGTGGTGATGGGTGGCACGCGTGGGCAGGGTGGAGAACGGCATTTGGTTGGCTTCCAGAGGTCTGCGACTAGATGGTGCTGGTTGTGAAAGTGAGGCTCTGAGAGAGCTTCGAGCGGTCGATTTAATCGTCTGTCGCAATCATTGCGACATCTCTCGGGGTCGGTGACTCTGGCCGTGGTTAAACTCTTGACCTTTTGCTCAGACGCGTGCTGCCGCCGCCGCCGGTGGTGGCGACTGGACGTTTCCAGGCTCCGGCCACGCCGGCCGCTCCACTCTGGGTGCGTGCGTGTGCGTCGCGTGTTCATTCGGCGGGGGGAGCGGTGGCGCAACGGTTAGCGGCGCCGCCCCACGAACCCCGGGCCACCCGAGTTCGATTCCCCGCTCACGGCCGATGTTGCCTTCGCGTAACGCGGCGCTCGCCCCTACGTACGAGCGTCGCACTTCCTGCAGCGCCACACCGTACGTAGCCAACCGTGCCAGTCGGGTGGCGTGGTGCTCTATGTCTCAGCAGCCGCTTGCGGGCTCCGTGCGCGTGTCAGATGCAGCAGGCCGTGCGAGTGATGCGGGCCATCCGCATGCGGGAGTTCGGGCCGTCCTCCGTGCTGCGCCTGCAGACGGACGTCCCCGTGCCTTCGCCCAACGACAAAGAGGTCTCTCTCTTCTCTCTCGTCTCTCTCCTCTCGTCTTTCTCTCCTCACCTCTCTCCTGTCCCTCTCCTCTCTTTTCTCTCTCCTCCACGCATGAACTCACACGGTCCCGACCTTCGCACCGCTTCTAATAATACATTTGAGGTGGGTGGCTGAGCGAGCGAGTGAGTGGGTAGGCGGGTAGGTGAGCGAGTGGTTGTGTAGGTGAATGTGTGGGTCGGTGAGCGAGTGACCGAGTGAGTTCTTGAGTGAATTGGTTAGTGAGCGACTTCGCGAGTGAGCGACTGGGTGAGTGAGTGGGTGGATAGTTAAGACGAGATGAGCGAACGAGTTATAAACTCCACACGTTCCATCACCATGAACCCCCGGCCCCTCACCCCGTCACCAACGCGCGCAGGTGCTGATCCGCGTGCGTGCGTGTGGCGTCAACCCCGTGGACACGTACATACGCACGGGCACGCACACGCGCAGGCCCGAGCTGCCCTGGACCCCGGGGGGCGACGTTGCCGGCACGGTGGAGTCTGTGGGCCGCTCCATCTCCTCCTTCAAGGTGCGGGGGGCCACACGCTTGGCGCCGCCCGGCTCATTCCCCGGTGGGGGTGTGGACCGGCTCACCATCACGGGGGGTTTGTGGACTTTGTGTTTTTGTTTTCCACAATAGAGGTTTTGTTTAGGGGTTCGAGCGTGTGAATGTGTCGTTAAACCTGCCCGTGTTGTGAATGTTGTAGTGGGTTTACTCTCCAACCCACGCACCGGCTAGCGCCAAACTAGTAACTAATTGGCACGTTTTGTTTACGTGTTTAGTTAGTTGTCCTTCCCCCGCACCTCCGATGAGCACGGTTGGCTACAATGCGAAAGAAGTTCAACAAACAACTGCCATGCGCCACTAAGTTGCGGCGATGTCACCACGGCGCTTGTGCCAGGCTAGGTGTACGTTAAGGCCATGTGAAGTGTCGAACGCCCGCTGGCAGGAGGTCACGGGATAGATCCAGGTGGTGCCATTGGTTGACTGAGATGACTACCCGATGCACCACCTGTGCCCCCTACTGTGTTAACATGCTGTGTTTTAGCCACTCGGCGCTCCGCTCGTTGTTGTGAGCGTCGCTCCTCCGCCCTCCGTTGTTTCTGGAGGGCGACCGCCTCCAACTGCCCAGTAGCGTCCTTCACGAGCCTCCTCCTCCACAGAGGCCGATCTTGACACCGCTGGTACCAGTCATCGGCAAGTCTCCTTCCTCTTGTACCACGTCACTCCATCTCTTCCCCTAGATCGCGCCGCGCCCGTTCAGCCCCCTCGATCCGTACTCGCACGCAGTCTGTTGAAGGCTTCACGGGGGGACCTTTGCCTTTGGTGTTGCGAGCAGGCGGGCGACCGCGTGTACACGGCGCTGGCGGAGGGTGGCTACGCGGAGTTTGTGTGCGTGGCTCACGACCGCGTCTTCACGCTGCCGGCCCAGCTGGACTTCCCGCAGGGCGCCGCGCTGGGCGTGCCGTACTTCACCGCTTACCGCGCCCTCGTGCAAAAGTAAACGCGCTCGGCGTTCGGCTCTGCGGCGACGCGGCGACGCGGACATCGGGCACAGTGGGCCCCAGTTTCTAAAACTTAAACATCGCTGGACGTTTGACCATGGGCATCAACAGCGGTGATGTCACTCCAATTGCCTTAAGCTATTTTTTTTCTTTTACCGGGTAAGGCCCCACTGGGACTGTGTAGTTAGTTTATGATGATGATGATGATGTGGCTCATCATCATCATCATCATCGTCACCGTGTGGACATTTCTAGCGGCAGCGAAATACTCTAAACGCTTGACGTTGATTCTGAATGTTGGGGGGAATAACCGGAGGTCCCCGAGATAAATCCACGTGACCAAGGTGAGAGAGACAGAGAGAGATCCAAACTCCACAAATACAGCAGGCCCAGGGTCAGGATCCACAACCTCCTTTATACTTAACTCAGAACTATTTTTATTTGACCAGGTAAGGCCCACTGAGCTATATAGTTACCTGGCTATCATGGCTCAACAACAATCCGTGATGGCCCGACGGTACGTTTCTCTGTGTGTCCGTGGGGTTGCAGGGCCGCGACGAGACCGGGGGAGACGGTGCTCATCCACGGAGCGAGCGGCGGGGTGAGCCGCACCGTGGACACGCGGCCCCACCGCACTGCTCCACTGCTAGACTGCTAAACTGCTAAACTGCTCCACTGCTTGTCACTTCACGCGTGCCACGGCTGCGGTGATTACGGTGGTGATAATGGTATATTAGTGGTTGTAATAGTCGTGGTGATGATGATATAATAGTGATGGTGGAGAGCGTGGTGACGGTATAATAACAAGTTGCCACAGTGGGGGGCACAGCAGGTGCATCTGCCAGCCATCTCAGTCAACCGTAGGCACGCACGCTCGCACGCTCGCACGCACGCACAATCTACGAACGTTAAAAGAAAATGCGGCGCCGCGTGTGAGCGCAGGTCGGCATCGCGCTGTGCCAGATGGCGCGTGCGCTGGGCACGCGCGTGATCGGCACGGCCGGGTCCCCCGAGGGGCTGGAGCTGGTGGCCAAACACGGGGCCCACAGCACCTTCAACCACCGCGAGGACGGATACGTGGGCCGCATACAGGCGAGTGGTCCGTCGCGCCGTCGATTGGTGGCGAGGCGTTAATCTGCCTCGTCCGGTATGCAGGAGGTCGTGGGTTCGACGCTTCACCCTTGACGCCGGATAAAAACAAATTGTTATTTTACCAGGTAAGGCCCCGCTGAGCTTTGTAGTTTTTTTGTCAGAAGCGACCTGGCTATCACGAATGACAGCTCAGCCAAGTGGCTCATCATCGTCGTCGTCGTGTGGAAATTTTTATCAGCAGCCAAATACTGTGAGCGTGTGACGTTGGTTATAGATGTGGAGGGAAAAACCGGAGGACCCGGAGAAAAATCCACACGACCAGGGGGAGCGAGAGAGACACGCAAACTCCAAATATACAGCAGCAGCAGTCAGGGTTGGGATCGGACCCACGACCTCCTGCATACCAGGCGAGGGAGTTAACATCTCGCAAACTCCCCGTGGTCGCGTTTAGATTATTTGGCTGCTGCTAAACATATTCTCCACGTGATGACGATGATGATGACGACAAGCCACTTTGTTGAGCTATCATTCGTGATGGCCAGGTCGCTTCTGAAAAACAGCTACATAACTCAGTGGGCCTTACCGGGTAAAATTAGAATCAGAATATTTCTTCCTACTGGAGGAATCCGATGAGCTATGAAGCTCTTTTTTTCCCCACAGATGTGCAGTAAAATAAAAATAGAAGTAGCAGCGGTACATGCCGAATATAACAATTTCAGATATTAACAACTTTGGTGACGGTTGAGTGTAATTTGTATTTGAATAGTGTGATGGTGTGTGCCGGTTGGCGATCAGGAGCTGTGCCCGCGCGGCGTGGACGTCGTCTTTGAGATGCTGGCCAATGTCAACCTTCCCAGCGACCTCAAACTGCTGGGGCAGAACGGCCGAGTGGTGGTGAGACGTCTCTCTGGCAGATACACCAGGACGGAGAGTTACACCTCCACAAGCCTAACCACTCCCCGCCAGGCAACGTCACCCACCCACCGCTCACCGCCCACTGCCACCCACCACTCACCATCACCCACCCACCAGCCACCCACCCACCGCCACCCACCATCACCCCCCACCTACCATCACCCCCCACCCACCGCCACCCACCACCCACCATCACCCCCCACCCACCACCAACCATCACCTACCACCACCCAGCCACCCACCCACCGCTACCCACCATCACCCCCCACCCACCGTCACCCACCAGCCACCCACCCACCGTCACCCACCAGCCACCCACCCACCGCCACCCACCAACCACCATCATCCCCCACCCACAATCACCCACCGCCAACCACCCACCCACCGTCACCCACTCACCACCCACCGCCACCCTCCCACCAGCCACCCACCCACCGCCAACCACCCACCAGCTACCCACCCACCAGCTACCCACCCACCAACAACTCTCCCTCCCAGATCATCGGTTGCCGTGGCGCCGTGGAGATGAACCCGCGTGAGACGCTGCTGCGTGAGCTGCACGTCATGGGGGTCAGCCTCTTCAACTGCAACGCGGTGAGAGAGCTGCACCCCCCACCGCCCCCGGCAGAATACCACCACGGTGGCTATGAGATGTTGACTACCTCGCCTGGTGCGCAGGAGGTCGTGGGTTCGATCCCGACCCTGACACCTGCTGCTGCTGCTGTATATTTGAAGTTTGCGTGTCTCTCATCATCATCATCATCATCACGGTGGCTAGGAGATGTTAACTACCTCGCCTGGTGCGCAGGAGGTCGTGGGTTCGATCCCGACCCTGACGCCTGCTGCTGCTGCTGTATATTTGAAGTTTGCGTGTCTCTCTCTCATCATCATCATCATCACCACGGTGGCGAGGAGATGTTTACTACCTCGCCTGGTGCGCAGGAGGTCGTGGGTTCGATCCCGACCCTGACGCCTGCTGCTGCTGCTGTATATTTGGAGTTTGCGTGTCTCTCTCATCATCATCACGGTGGCTAGGAGATGTTAACTACCTCGCCTGGTGCGCAGGAGGTCGTGGGTTCGATCCTGACCCTGACGCCTGCTGCTGCTGCTGTATATTTGGAGTTTGCGTGTCTCTCTCTCATCATCATCACCACGGTGGCTAGGAGATGTTTACTACCTCGCCTGGTGCGCAGGAGGTCGTGGGTTCGATCCTGACCCTGACACCTGCTGCTGCTGTATATTTGAAGTTTGCGTGTCTCTCTCTCATCATCATCATCACGGTGGCTAGGAGATGTTAACTACCTCGCCTGGTATACAGGAGATCGTGGGTTCAATCCAGACGCTGATGCCTTCTGCTGCTGTATATTTGAAGTTTGCGTGTCTCTCTCTCTCTCTCTCCCCGTGGTCGCGTGGATTTTTCTCCGGGTCCTCCGGTTTTCCCATCCACACTTAGAATCAAGGTCGCGCGTTTCGGTGTGTCTGGCTGTGTGGACGTGCGTACGGTGAACTTCTTTCCCACCGTACGTAGCCAACCGCGGGGGAAGCCGCTCCGTCGAGCTACCTAGTTTAGTAGTAGTTTAGTAGTAGTTGTTTAGTAGTAGTTGTTTAGAGGGACCCTGCCCCCCCCCCCTTCCCCCTTGCAGGAGGAGCGCCAGGAGAGTGCAGCCGCGCTGCGGGCCGGCGTGGAGAGCGGCTGGCTGCGTCCCGCGGTCGGCTCTCGCATCCCGCTGGAGGAGGCTGCACGTGCCCACGACGAGATCATCTCCAGCAGCCCCACGCTCGGCAAGATGGTGCTCACCATGTGAACGCCGCGCTCCGTTACCGGCGCTCGCTCGCAGGAACTCGCCAGAAGTCACCGCCACTCGCCGCCGAAGCTCGCCGGCGCATGGCACTCACCGGGGGGGGCTCGCCGTGGCTCACCGTGGGGGGGGGGGGCTCGCCGTGGCTCACCCACGCGTCGTGCTCACCGGCATTCACCGACGCTCACCGACACTCACCGTGGGGGCTCGCCGTGGCTCACCCACGCGTCGTGCTCACCGGCATTCACCGACGCTCACCGACACTCGCCGACACTAACCAGCGTGCGGCGTACCGGACGACGCGCCGAGGCCCCCCGAGACCGCTACGTTGGGCCTGAGTGAGTGAGTACGTGAGTGAGTGAGTACGTGAGTGAGTACGTGAGTGCGTGAGTGAGTGAGTACGTGAGTGAGTGAGTACGTGAGTGAGTGAGTACGTGAGTGCGTGAGTGAGTGAGTACGTGAGTGAGTACGTGAGTGAGTGAATACGTGAGTGAGTGTGTCAGTGCGTGAGTGAGTACGTGAGTGAGTGCGTGAGTGAGTGAATACGTGAGTGTGTGAGTGCGTGAGTGAGTACGTGAGTGAGTACATGAGTGAGTGAGTGTGTGAGTGCGTGAGTGAGTGTGTGAGTGCGTGAGTGAGTTTATGAATGCGTGAGTGAGTACGTGAGTGAGGGAGTTTATGAATGCGTGAGTGAGTACGTGAGTGAGTGAGTTTATGAATGCGTGAGTGAGTACGTGAGTGAGTTTATGAATGCGTGAGTGAGTGAGTGAGTTTATGAATGCGTGAGTGAGTGCGTGAGTTTATGAATGCGTGAGTGAGTGCGTGAGTTTATGAATGCGTGAGTGAATACGTGAGTGAGTGAGTACGTGAGTGAGTGTGTGTGTGCATGTGTGCGTGAGTGAGTTTATGAATGCGTGAGTACGTGAGTGAGTGTACGTGAGTGCGTGAGTGAGTACGTGAGTGAGTACATGAGTGAGTACATGAGTGAGTGAGTGAGTACGTGAGTGAGTACGTAATTGAGTACGTGAGTGAGTGCGCGAGTGAGTGCTTGAGTACGTGAGTGAGTGAGTACGTGAGTGAGTACGTGAGTGAGTGAGTACGTGAGTGAGTGAGTACGTGAGTGAGTGCGTGCGTGCGTGAGTACGTGAGTGAGTGCGTGAGTGAGTGAGTGCGTGTGTGAGTGCGTGAGTGAGTACGTAAGTGAGTGAGTACGTGAGTGAGTACGTAAGTGAGTGAGTGCGTACGTGAGTGAGTACGTAAGTGAGTGCGTAAGTGAGTGAGTACGTGAGTGAGTGAGTACGAAAGTGAGTGAGTACGAAAGTGAGTGAGTGCGTATGTGAGTGAGTGAGTACGTGCGTGCGTACGTGAGTGAGTACGTGAGTGAGCGAGTGAGTGAGCGAGTGATTGAGCACGTGAGTGAGCGAGTGCGTGAGTGAGTGAGTACGTGAGTATGTGAGCATGTGAGTGAGCACGTGAGTGAGCGAGTGAGCGAGTGAGCGAGTGAGCGAGCGAGCGAGTGAGTGAGTGAGTGAGCGAGTGAGTGAGTGAGCGAGTGAGTGATCTGTCCTGGGTGTCACCGCTTCGATTCCAGCGGCGGCCCGAAAACAACGGAGCGAGCATCTTGAGTGAGAATCTTTATTTACCCAAATGAGAAAAAAATCCGATGATCTATGAAGCTCTTTTTTTTGCCCCCCACAGTAGGGGACACGGGGGTCAGGAAATATGAATATCTCCCACCCCTCCCCCCGCGACCCACCACCGTCCACCTACCCCTCCGGGCCGATTGTCCAACCTCAAAGACGTCGCCCGCGGCTCGCCTTGGCCTCGCTTCTGCAGCGTGGGATCCCGTCCGGGCCTGGGGTCCTGTTCTTGTTCAGCCCCTTCACCGCCCCTTCCACTTCTTCCCGTCGAATCCTCTCCTCTAGCGCCTCCGGGTTCCCAACCCTCTTCCCCAATGCCCCCGGCAGCTCCTCCCGCCGCCCCCCCCATCTATCCCTTTCCTCTTATACAAATCCCCATAAAAGTCTTCCGCTACACCAATCATCCCTTCCGTCGTCACCTGTCTACCCCTAGTAGGACTAACCAGCTCCCTCATTTCATCGTCTCCCTCCCTACCCGCCTTAAAGAAAAATCTTGTACACTGTTCCCTATCCTCTGTTGCCCTGACCCTCGCCCTATACACTAATTGCCTAGTCCTCTTTTCCAGGACTGAGGCTACGCTCCCTTTCAACTCCGCTATCCTTTCTCCCACCGGGAACCCCTAGCTCTAGCAGTCTATACAGCCCTTCTAACCTAGCGTTCCACTGTCTCAATTCCCTACCCACCCCCTTCCTCCTACTATAACGCTGAAAGAACGTCCTTATCCTACCCTTTATCTGCCCCCACCACTCCACCCTCGTGGGGAAGCACACCTGCAGCGTCCTCCAGCTGGTATACGCTCGCGTGAAATCCTCCGCCACCTCCTGATCCACCAGCAAGCCCACATTCATCGTCCACACACCCTTCGCCCTCTTCACCCCACCTGGGGTCACAAGCCCCGCCCACCACCATTCTGTGATCCGAGAGGGGAAAAGGTTCCACCCCCGCGCTTCCCACATTCACCTTGTCGGAGACGAAAATAAAGTCGACACGTGACTGTGTGCCCCCCGCTGTTATCCGCCCACGTGAACCCTGGCCGCGTGCCATGCACCCTCCTGAACGTGTCCACCATCCAAAAGTCCTCCATCAACTCCCTCAGTTTCCTGGAAGAGGAATCTAACTAACTCCTCCTCCCCTTTACCGACACCACATCCGCCAAACACAACGGGCAGTTAAAATCGCCCCCCACAATGACCCGCCTCCTGGTGGCCAGTAGGCCTGCCAGGCTCTCCCACACCTCCGTCCTGTCCATACATCGTACCGGGGCGTACACATTTATCAGCCGTAGCTCCACACCCTGGTAAGATGCATCTACACAGAGGAGCCGACCCGGTATTATTTCCTGGGTCCCTTCCACTCTCATTCCCCTTCTTCCTAGGAGGGTAACCACGCCTGTAAATCTGTTCCCGTTGCTGCCAGGCCAAATGTAGTGTCCCTTCCATTCGTCCAGCAGAGCCTCCGACCTTAGGGTATGGGGTAAGGTGACATTCTTGGAGGAAAATTACGTCACGTCTGGTGATCTGCAGCCACTGCACGATCGCCCCTCTCCTTCCCTTCCCCTTCATTCCTCTCGCATTAACAGATGCTACAGATATGTCCATGCCGAGGCGAGCGTTATTCCGTGTCGGGCTCCGGTGCGCGCTCCCCCCCCCGTCTGCCTTTGTCCGCCTTCTCCTTCACCTTTTTTCTCCCCTTCAACCTCCGGGGCTTCCCCCGGTTCAAACGTCCCCCCCCCCCCCCTTCCGTCCACCGCCACCCAGATTCCCCCGAATCCGGCGAGGATCCTGAAAGGCTCGCATCTTGCTGGGGACTAGCTTCTTTCAGAACTCTATCCAGCTTCCGTTTTCTCCCCCCCCCCCCCCCCGATTCCTCCCATGCGTCATCCGCTTCTTCCTCCACCCGCTGCCCCTCCTCGCCCTCCTCCTCGCCCATCACCTCCGCCCAGTCCCCCACTGGGGTTTCCGAGTCCTCTTCTTCATCTCCCCTCCGCTCCTCCCCCCCCTCCAGTGGTGGTGGTGCTCCCTCCCCCACAGATCCCCCCCCCCCCTCACCCTCCCCAGGGGGTCGTGGTTCCTCCACCTCCCCTTTCCCTTCCCCTCCATGCATCCGGCCCCGCTTCCCGTCCGGCCACCTCCTCCGCCGCCTCCTCTACCTGTCCACTCCGACATGCCCGCACCCTGTTAGCATAGCACTCTGGGCAGGTCCTATACAGGTGCCCTCTGCTGCCGCACAGGTTGCAAAGGGCCGGCTCCCCACACTCCTCCACCGTCGTGTGGTCCAGCGCCCTGCACCCGTAACAAACACGTGCCACGCACGCTGCCGCCAGGTGCCCCCCTTCCCCCACACGTCCTGCACAGTTTGGGCTGTCCCGCATAGACAACATAGCCCCTGTTCCCCCCCAATGTTCAATGCGCTCGGGACGTGCCTCAGTGCCCCCCCCCCCCCCCCTCCATCTTCAGACGCACCCTCCATTGTCTGGCCCCCGTCCATATCCCCGCCGCATCCAGCACCCTCTTGCATCCCGACAGCACCACACAATGCTGCCTCAGCCACACCTCCACGTCCTGATCATACAACGCTTCATTATAAAGGAACACGGTCACAACCTTTGTCTCCAGGTCCGACAGTAACCGCGTCCTCATGGACGTCAGCGGCTTCTCCCCTGCCTTCTCCTCGAAACGGGCTAGGAAATTTTGCAGCAGAATGTTGGAGTTGAAGCTCACATCAAACACCCTCCCCCCCCCCCCCCCCCGGCAGAGCAATCAACCAATAGAGGTCCTCCACCTCCACCCGCAGCATCCCAAGCACCACCGACCTCACGAAGGTCGTCCTGTCCAGGGTCACCCCCTCTTCCACATCTTCCTTGAATTCGACTCGCACGCAGTTGTGCCTCCTGGCCTGCGTCGGGGTCAGGCCCGCCGCAGCTCCGCTGCGCCACCTCCCCGCTCCTCCGCCGGGCCTCCCCGCACCCACCGGGCCAGCGCCCGCGGTCTTCTCCCTCCTCTGCCTCTTCCCCCGGCCCCTGGGCTGCAGGCGCCTCTCCTGCCCCCTTCCTCCCCATTCTGGTCCGGGGCACTCCCGCCCCATCCTCCCGGCGCTCCCCCTCGTTCTCCTCCCCGCTCCTCCCTCCCCGCACTCTCCGGCCCATCCGCCCCCTCCACTCCCTTCCCTCGTCGCGCCTCGCCCAACGTCACCCCCGCACCAGACGGGCCGGCGCCGCTCCTCCGGTCGCTCGCAGCGCCCCGGGCGCCTTCCTCGGTCCGCGACGTGCGCCGCGACTCCGTCTCCGTCCCCGCCGTCTCCACGTGGCCGCTGCGGCGGGGTCACTCCTCCCGCGGCGCGCCCGTGGTTCCCCCCACCCTCCGGCAGCAAGGCCACCCCAGACCACCCGGCCTGGGGGCCCTCGCACACCCCGGAGTGGCTGGAGAACCCACGGGACACCGAGGAGCGCTGCAGTAGTGCGTCAGGAAAAAACAGGAACAGGTTTCGCTGGTAATTGCATCCAGCATCATCGGGCAATTGGTCAGAATGGTAAAGCCCCCTCTCCACAAATAGAGCAGCAGCAGGGTGACGTCATCATTTAACTCATTCAGGTGCAGTGATTTGAGGCGTGGGGGGGGGTTGTAATTATATAATCGATTGGTTATCAGTCAATGGTTATGATTAGTAATGAGTTGTAGATTAGTAATGAGTTGTAATGTGTGTTATTGTGATTATATGCTACGTTGGTAATCCGTGAATGATTTCGACCACTGAGCAAACTGGTTAT